GCACCAGTCCCCCCGGGGAGATGGGACGGGGTCACCCCCATGCACCAGCCCCCCCAGGGAGATGAGATGGGACGGGCTCACCCCCATGCACCAGTCCCCCGGGGAGATGGGACGGGGTCACCCCCATGCACCAGCCCCCCCGGGGAGATGGGATGGGACGGGGTCACCCCCATGCACCAGCCCCCCCAGGGAGATGAGATGGGACGGGCTCACCCCCATGCACCAGCCTCCCCAGGGAGACGGGACGGGGTCACCCCCATGCACCAGCCCCTGGGGAGACGGGATGGGATGGGGTCACCCCAATGCACCAGCCCCCCCGGGGAGATGGGACGGGGTCACCCTGATGCACCAGACCCCCGAGGAGATGGGATGGGACAGGGTCACCCCCATACACCAGCTCCCCCAGGGAGACAGGACGGCATCACCCCCAATGCTCCACCACCTGCCTGCACCAGCCCCTTTGCCGCCCCCACGTCCCAAGCTGTGGTCCCCGCAGAGGAAGGTGGGGTGGGCTGCGGGGGCCTCTCCCCAAGCCTGGAGGTCCTGGCATTGGGGTCTCCCGAGGAGCAGTCTCCCGGCCCAGGCTCTCCTGAGGGTCCCCTGTGACTCCTGCAGTCCGGGGCAGCACAGGCCAAGCGAGGGGCCATGATCCCTTCCCCTCCCTGCTAGTCTGGGCTCTGTCCGACCGCGGGGAGTCTCTCTCCAGGGACTTGGGGGCCCCCTCACCATTCTCTGACTGCCACCAGGTGGTGTGGCCATCCCGGCCGCCGAGGTACACCACGTTCTGGATGCGGTGGCTGTTGCGCAGAGACGGGGACCGGGAGTCGCAGGAGAAGCATTTCTCCGAGTCCTGAAGCACACAGAGTGTCCCAGTGCTGTCTTGCCCCATGGCGCAGCCCCGCAGCAGGGGCAGACGGGCACTGGGGCTGCCCTTGGACCGACAGACAGACTCACCCCCGGGGACACGATCCAGACCCACGCACGGCACCCACGTGCAGACAGACTCGCACACCCACGGATCCAGGGGACAGACGGACGGACACAACCACCAGTTCAGGCAGACAGACGGACTCACATACACGGATCCAAGGGGTCAGACAGACTCACACACACACACAAAGCCAGACAGACGGACACACCCACACGTCCAGACAAACTTGCACACCCACACGATCCAAGTGGACAGACGGCCAGACACACCCACAGATCCAGGGGGCCAGATAGACAGACACACCCACCCGGATCCAGGGGACAGGCGGACACACGCGCTGACCCTGGCTCGCCCGCAGGCTCTGCCAGCCTGGCTGGGGCTGAGTGTTTGGGGCTGGGGCAGGGGTCTGCATTGCCTGTCTCCCTTGCCCAGGCTCACCAGAGGCCCGAGGATCGGCTGGCGGGTGCCGGTGAGAGCGCAGGGCTGTGGGGTTGAGCTCCCCTAGTTGCCCTGGATGGGAAGAGTCTGGCTCAAGCCAGTGGGGGGCTGTGGGCAGAGGGCCTGGCCCCCCAGGCGCCCAGGCAGAGCGATGGGGAGGGGGCAGCCGGTCACACCGCCCGCAGAGACGAGCGTTGGCCAGGAGCCGGGCCACACAGCACCCGGAGGGCTGGGCGCTGCCCCGAGCACCCCTCGGAGTGGGGTACCTGGAGGTGGCTGACGATGCAGTATTCCTGGGGCCCCTGCAGCCCACAGGTGGACGTGGCACTCAGGTTCTGGGCCCGCCCGATCAGCAGGTTCCCGGTGGCCGGGTGGCAGCTCCCCGCGGAGCAGCCGGGCACATCCTGGCTCCCCGCACCGGGCACCTGGACTGGAGAGAGGCACAGGGCGTGGCCTGGCTGAGAGGGGGTGAGCCCCGACCCCCACATATACCCCTTCCCCCGCACGGGGCCCCCAGGCTCACGCCTTCATCCCCCTGCACACCCCCTGCACACCTCCCTCCACACGCACCCTCCCTCTGTGCACCCCCTGCACCCCCCTCCCCCCGTGCCCAGCACTGGGTCCCAAACCCGCTGACCCGGCAGGGAAACGCCACGACCCTGAAAGCCTCCGAAAGCCCCCGCGCAGCAGCCCTGTGACTGGGGGAGCAAAGGCCTTTGTCTGGCCTGCCGTGACTCTGCCCCCCCTCGTCCCCCAGCTGAGTCCTCCCCGACCCTGGCCCCCCCTGACTCTGCCCAGCCCCTGCCAATGATTACCTGGTGAGGCCGTGCCCAGGCGGGGTCATGCCCGGGGGGGTCATGGCCCGGGGGGGGCCAGAGACACACTCCGGAGCAGGGCCCCACATGGGCATGACATGGGCAGTCCCCCACCCCCGGGGCAGAGTGCGGGGGAGGAGTCAGCGGGGGGGGGGGCAGGGTGTCTGCCCCGCCCCCCTGCATAGCCCCCCTGCTCTGTCTCAGCCCCGCGGCCAGCGCCAGGCACGT